TAATAAAGTACAATGTATGTAATTATGTATAAATTATTATATTTATATTTTTTATAGTATATCATTTCGTAAATAAATAAATTGTATAATATTATATATAATAATTGTATAAATAAGTAAATTGTTTTTTATAGTATATTTTATTTCATCAACTGATAACAAATAATAATTCGATTTTTTTTAATATTATTGTAATTTATTATTGTTCTATATAAAATAATTTTTTAAATTTATTATTAATTTTAAAATTATTAAATATTATCTATATTATTACTTTATATAAGTATATTTAATAAAAAAAGATTGCAAAAGTTTATAAAATTATTCAAAAAAAATTATATGTTTATCATAATGAACAGAAAAATTAAGTAAAATTGAACAAGAAAATTTAAAAAGACTCACTGATTAATAAATATTTAGTCAAATAAAAATTACATTATTTAACTTCATTCTTTTAATAAATTATAGATATTATATGATATTAATTTATCAATTCCTACTTTTATCTCTCAAAACATATGGATTTTTCACCTAGTATAAAACTCCAACTTATGATTTTCAGTGAGATATTTAGATTTATTACAAAAGATATTGGATCTATAACTATCATTCTTATTCTTTCTTTCTTTTAATATACAATTTTTTTCACTACAATATTTTTTGAAAATTAATAACTGAGTTTTTAGCCGAATAAACATTGACATTGTATTATTGTGACATTATGTATGTATATATGCATATATGGAAATAGAAATTTTAATTTTGATAAAATTTTTAACCACAGAATAAATACTTGAAAAATATAATGTGTTTGAGTAACGCTCCTTTTCGTTATATGTAAGACAAATGAAGTGGCCAAACTAATACATATCTTTTGCTACATCAACAATAAATCGTTATGAAACGCGCCTTAGTTTATATATTAGTTATATATAATATATATATATTATATATTCTAACTATAATATATAATATATAATATATTAATAACTATAATATATTATATATTATAACTATAATATATAATATTATAGTTATAATGTTTATAACTATAATATTATAAATATTATGTTTTAATATATTAATATATTATATTAATTATATTAATTATATTATAATATATATGTTTATAAGTATAATATTATAACTATAATATTATAAATATTATAACTATAATATATAATAGCCGATCGTGAAATTCTGCATTCCTGTAATATTCTTTTATGGTAGATTTCTTTGTATCGAAGACTAAGAATATACATTTTGAAAAACGA